CCTACATTCACTCGTGTCTGCTCCCTCCCTACATTCACTCGTGTCTGCTCCCTCCCTACATTCACTCGTGTCTGCTCCCTCCATGTCTGCTCCCTCCGTACATTCGCTGGTGTCTGCTCCCTCCGTACATTCGCTGGTGTCTGCTCCCTCCGTACATTCGCTGGTGTCTGCTCCCTCCGTACATTCGCTGGTGTCTGCTCCCTCCGTACATTCGCTGGTGTCTGCTCCCTCCGTACATTCGCTGGTGTCTGCTCCCTCCGTACATTCGCTGGTGTCTGCTCCCTCCGTACATTCGCTGGTGTCTGCTCCCTCCGTACATTCGCTGGTGTCTGCTCCCTCTGTACATTCACATGTGCCTGCTCCCTCCGTACATTCACGGGTGCCTGCTCCCTCCGTACATTCACGGGTTCCTGCTCCCTCCGTACATTCACTGGTGTCTGCTCCCTCCGTACATTCGCTGGTGTCTGCTCCCTCCGTACATTCGCTGGTGTCTGCTCCCTCCGTACATTCGCTGGTGTCTGCTCCCTCTGTACATTCCCTGGTGCCTGCTCGCTCCGTACATTCACGGGTGCCTGCTCCCTCCCTGGCTCTCTTGCAGTGAGGGCCCACTGACATTGTTCTGCTATGTTGTGGTGCATTACCTTGTGGTGCAGAAAGGCAGATCATTCCAAACACAACACAGGGTTTAAAAGACCTGCAGCATTCGCATCAACACTGCACCACAGTGATTCATAGTTGCCGTTGTGGTGCATTAAAACACAGAATGGACCTTTATTAGGGGTCTATTAATGAATATTTTGGAACAAAAATTCACACAACTTTCATCCAGGATACACATATTTTCCCAATGGAATCCAAGCAGGCAAATGTGTGAAAGCATTTTAGACCCCTCAGTGTAATGCTGGAGAACAACTTACAGATGACTGAATTGTTATGTCAACAGGTCATTTGGGAACATGACTTCAGTAGATGAACATTCTGTTCACAGGCGATATGATGACAGGAAGCAAGCACAGAAGATTGTGCAAAGGGTCAAGGAATGTCCCAGATCTCCAAAGTCCAATTTAAAAACACACATTACAATCTCATTGCCGTTTGACATTTTCCTAGATGTATACGATATTAAACCCGTCCTAGGCAAATGTACTCAGTTTATATACAATCAGGCAGGCATAGATTTTGGTAGAGGTAAATGAGATTGTACAATCACAATGCAGTGTGTGTGGCCATATTAAAAGGAGATTGTACACTCATAATGCAGTGCATATGGCCATCTTAAAGTACAATCAGAATACAGTGTGTATGGTCATCTTAAGGCACATTGTACAATCAGAATACAGTGTGTTTGGTCATCTTAAGGCACATTGTACAATCAGAATACAGTGTGTATGGCCATCTTAAGGGGCATTGTACAATCAGAATACAGTGTATATGGCCATCTTTAAGGACATTGTACAATCAGAATACAGTGTGTATGGCCATCTTAAGGGGCATTGTACAATCAGAATACAGTGTTTATGGTCATCTTAAGGAACATTGTACAATCAGAATACAGTGTGTATGGTCATCTTAAAGGACATTATACAATCAGATATTGGCCTTCTTTTAGCCATAATGGACACTCCATACTCAGTGCATGTTCAGCCCCTGGGCAGCACAGTGTCATTGGTTGCTTTGCAGTTAATAACACCCTAGTGACAAATTACGCTATGCTCCCGGCAGCGTCCTAGCAACCAATACATTATGCTCCGGACAGCTTCCTGGCAACCAATGACGCTATGCTTCCGACAGCGTCCCAGCAACCAACGAAGCTATGCCGCCGACAGAGTCCTAGCAACCAACGAAGCTATGCCGCCGACAGCGTCCTAGCAACCAATGACGCTATGCTTTCGACAGTGTCCCAGCAACCTCTGAAACTATGCTTCTGACAGCGTCCTAGCAACCAATGACGCTATGCTTCCGACAGCGTCCCAGCAACCAACGAAGCTATGCCGCCGACAGAGTCCTAGCAACCAACGAAGCTACGCCACCGACAGCGTCCTAACAACCAATGACGCTATGCTTTCGACAGTGTCCCAGCAACCACTGAAACTATGCTTCTGACAGCGTCCTAGCAACCAATGAAGCTAAGTTTTTGACAGTCTTCTAGCAACCAATGTGCTATGTTTCTGACATCAACCTAGCAACCAACGACATTATGTTTCCAACAGCATCCTAGCAACCATTGACACTATGCTTTCAACAGTGTTCTAGCATCCAATGAAGCTATGCTTCTGACAGTGTTCTAGCAACCTATGACACTTTACTCCCGCCAGCGTCTTCTAGCAACCAATGACACTTTACTCCCGCCAGCATCCTAGCAACCAGTAACAGGAGGGGGTGACGCATGCACACATGCTCTCCTTATTACACCGTGGCTGCACTCTTGCCCTCTCTATTGGTTGGTTCTAATCACCTCCATTTTCCATATCTACGACCTGGCTGTAATACTTTATGAATCTGTCACATCCATAGGGACACATTGTAAAAGTGGCACAACTAAGGTCTCCCTGAATCTGTCGGAACTCTTACCAAAACTGTCACAAGGCTTTCATGAATGAGGTGCAGGACTTTTTAAAGGGACCATGCCACCGGTAAAGTGTCCCAAGTGATAAACTGAATTGCCTGAAACATGTCTCTTCTGCAAAAGCCTTCCTGGGACACAATTATATTTTGTGGAGTAGCCGCCATATTTCTACTGACCCAATACAGTGACATTTTAACACAAATATAAACTCAAATTATAGAAATGTATCAATAAGCTATAGAACTGAGAGGAAATGTATCAATGAATGATAGAACTGAGAGGAAATATATCAATAAATGATAATACTGAGAGGAAATGTATCAATAAATGATAGAACTGAGAGGAAATGTATCAATAAGCCATAGAGCGATAAGTTCAATAAGCGATAGAGCTGAGAGGAAATGTATCAATAAGCTATATATAACTGAGAGGAAATGTATCAATAAGCTATATAACTGAGAGGAAATGTATCAATAAATGATAGAACTGAGAGGAAATGTATCAATAAATGATACAACTGAGAGGAAATGTATCAATAAGCCATAGAGCGATAAGTTCAATAAGCGATAGAGCTGAGAGGAAATGTATCAATAAGCTATATATAACTGAGAGGAAATGTATCAATAAGCTATATAACTGAGAGGAAATGTATCAATAAATGATAGAACTGAGAGGAAATGTATCAATAAATGATACAACTGAGAGGACCAATGACGCTATGCTTTCGACAGTGTCCCAGCAACCTCTGAAACTATGCTTCTGACAGCGTCCTAGCAACCAATGACGCTATGCTTCCGACAGCGTCCCAGCAACCAACGAAGCTATGCCGCCGACAGAGTCCTAGCAACCAACGAAGCTACGCCACCGACAGCGTCCTAACAACCAATGACGCTATGCTTTCGACAGTGTCCCAGCAACCACTGAAACTATGCTTCTGACAGCGTCCTAGCAACCAATGAAGCTAAGTTTTTGACAGTCTTCTAGCAACCAATGTGCTATGTTTCTGACATCAACCTAGCAACCAACGACATTATGTTTCCAACAGCATCCTAGCAACCATTGACACTATGCTTTCAACAGTGTTCTAGCATCCAATGAAGCTATGCTTCTGACAGTGTTCTAGCAACCTATGACACTTTACTCCCGCCAGCGTCTTCTAGCAACCAATGACACTTTACTCCCGCCAGCATCCTAGCAACCAGTAACAGGAGGGGGTGACGCATGCACACATGCTCTCCTTATTACACCGTGGCTGCACTCTTGCCCTCTCTATTGGTTGGTTCTAATCACCTCCATTTTCCATATCTACGACCTGGCTGTAATACTTTATGAATCTGTCACATCCATAGGGACACATTGTAAAAGTGGCACAACTAAGGTCTCCCTGAATCTGTCGGAACTCTTACCAAAACTGTCACAAGGCTTTCATGAATGAGGTGCAGGACTTTTTAAAGGGACCATGCCACCGGTAAAGTGTCCCAAGTGATAAACTGAATTGCCTGAAACATGTCTCTTCTGCAAAAGCCTTCCTGGGACACAATTATATTTTGTGGAGTAGCCGCCATATTTCTACTGACCCAATACAGTGACATTTTAACACAAATATAAACTCAAATTATAGAAATGTATCAATAAGCTATAGAACTGAGAGGAAATGTATCAATGAATGATAGAACTGAGAGGAAATATATCAATAAATGATAATACTGAGAGGAAATGTATCAATAAATGATAGAACTGAGAGGAAATGTATCAATAAGCCATAGAGCGATCAGTTCAATAAGCGATAGAGCTGAGAGGAAATGTATCAATAAGCTATATATAACTGAGAGGAAATGTATCAATAAGCTATATAACTGAGAGGAAATGTATCAATAAATGATAGAACTGAGAGGAAATGTATCAATAAATGATACAACTGAGAGGAAATGTATCAATAAGCCATAGAGCGATAAGTTCAATAAGCGATAGAGCTGAGAGGAAATGTATCAATAAGCTATATATAACTGAGAGGAAATGTATCAATAAGCTATATAACTGAGAGGAAATGTATCAATAAATGATAGAACTGAGAGGAAATGTATCAATAAATGATACAACTGAGAGGGAATGTATCAATAAGCTAACGAACTGAGTGGGAATGTTATGAAATCATAAATGAAACCATAAAAACAATCAAACACAATTCAGAGACAGAAGACATTTCCTCCATACATTCCCTATACACACATAGAAGTAGTAGATGAGCTCTCTATATAATGATTTTACTAATCAAAGCCTCTCCTCCACGTCACATTCATCTGTCAAAGTATGTAGAACATTTCGATCACCGGTACAGTCCCTCCACCCCAATCCAGCAACTCATTGTTACTCTCTCCGGCAGATCCCCATAGTTTCTGCTCAGCCTGCAGGGGCCATAACGATCGGTACATACCAGAAGCCGGGCTCCAGCAGCCGCCCTGTGTGAAGTTTGAAGCGCCTTCCTCTTTCCTGGCCAGTGAAGAGCTGTGTTTACAAGTGTCTCTTCTATTCTGACGTGTCAGCACAGCTCCTCCTGTGTGCAGGCTGAGCCATGAGAGCTCACAGCCTGCACCCAGACACTGCTTCCTGTCAGCCCTGTCCATGGCCAGGAAGTGTCACAAAAACTGACAGGAATCCCCTGTAACCCTTTACCACACTACCTTCATTCACCATGCTTCACACCCCACAAGAGTTCACACATGTTATTTCAGGTTTTAACATTTGACATTGAGGCAAAGCTGAACTCCAGGCAGCTTAAGAAACAGTCAATGCAGTTATGTATTCATTACAATATATATGTATTTTAAGGCCTCATTCACATGGGGTTTTTTGCCCCATACAATGTGAAGGGCTGGTTTATCAGGTTTATCATGTGCCCAGAGCTGTGGGAAGAAGCGAGCAGGCAGCTCTATGTAGACGCAGGAGCTGTGCGCCCTCACATGCTGCTTCCCACCGCTCCGTGTTTTCACAGCCACACACAGACGGTGTACACACCTGGGACCATCATGTCTGCTTCCAAGGCCGTACACCAGGGTGGGCAACTCTGGCCCTCTAGCTGTGCTTTAATTACAAATCCAAACATGTCTCTGCCCAGGGGCAGCCCCAGGGTCGGTGTCACCCGGTGTGGCTGCTGCACATGTGTTATGACGTTTGTGGTTTGACTTCACTGCTGGCGGCCATCTTGGTGATGGGTATGCCACCGGGTCCCCCCCTCTCTCTCTCATGCTGCAGTTGGGCTCTCAGTGGACACGACTGAGTGCCCGACTTAGGGGGTGACAGCAAAATGACTGCCATTCATTTTGCTGTCACCCCCACTGATAGTGTCACACAATGCGGGCTGCAACCCCCTTGTGACACCACTGCCCCTGCCTCTGGGAGTCCTGCCTGTACCTGTCAGTACATGCAGAAAATTGAATGCTGGTATACAAAAAAAAAACAATGTACAAATTGTACCTCCACGTCATAGGGAGCTGGTGTATAGAAAGCACAAACACTTCCAATCAATAAACATTCAGGCCTCGTTCACACCACAGTGCGTTCCGGCCCGATCCTGGCCAGAACGCACTGCATCGCATAGCGGCCGGCTCACTATATTGTGGGGCAGGAGGGGGCATGGCGGTCCATTGAAGTGAATGGCACCGTAGCCATGCCCTCCGGCCGCAATGCGTATTATGCATACGGTCCGGTTTGAACAAAATAGTGCTTGCAGCATTTTGTTTGGACCGGACCGCAGGCATAATGTGCCTTGGGTATGCATGTTTGGGCAGGAGGTGGCATGGCGGTCCATTGAAGTGAATGGCACCGTACGTAGCCACGCCCCCTCCTGCCCCACAACATAGTGAGCCGGCAGCAATGCGCTGCAGTGCGTTCTGGCCGGAATCGGGCCTGAACACAATGTGTCTGGTGTGAACGAGGCCTCAAGCTGTATGTGATCCACGTGTACATATTCTCAGCTCATCTCTGGCTTCTCAGGGAGCTGCCATAATTCACCTATTTTCAGGAGCTCCGGCCTGGCAGTAAAAATCCACCAAGTAGTAATGCAGTTTGAAGTCTATGGGACTCATCTACCTTTGTCCCCAGCCCATAGTACCTAACTATTACTCTAGTGCTGGCCATGCACAAATAAGTTTTCAGGTAAGTTCAACCAGCTTTCAATCACAAGAATATCCAAACAGATGAAAGCAACCTATCCATGACGTTTACATTATTTCTCAATTTAGAAACTTAGTGATAGACTGCATACAGGTAATATATATGGTAGTTTGATGGTGGAAAGAACCTTAGGTACACTAAGCTAACCAATCTCCTTCATTTCTTAAAGGAGATATATGGGAGCTGGCAATGCTGCCTTGCATTTAAAATGTACAGACTGCAGTATTGTCAACTCTATCCTGGCTACACTACCTGGTGGGTCTATGACCTTGAGCAAGCATGTAGCTAGTGAAGTGTAAACGCCTGAGTCCTGCATACTTGTTCCAGGTTAGTGATCAGTAGGTAATGAAGCCAAGATTAGGAGCCTGAATTCTCTGAAAACAAGTCAGCTCCTACATTTTTATCCACAAAAAAAACCCAGGAATGAACAGTGTTTTTGTGCATGTACTGTCTTTATTCATTATGGTATGTTAAGAACTGAAAATTACAATTGTAAAATAATATTTTTCAGTCAGATAAATATGAATTACTGCAAATCAATCTCCCATCGAGCAACTGGATGGCTGGGCTCATTTTCCTATGTCTAGCAGGCTAATCTTAACTGCTTTGCTGGAAAAAAACCATGTTGCACACATAGTTCAATAGCTGACGCTCACATTATACACAGCTAAATTCCCAGGGGAGTGATTCCTTCCCCCCTCCCTCTCTCCCTGCTTTATATGGCACAGAGTTTCAATTAGAAAGAAACAGAAACCAGAGCTTTGGAAATCCCAGAATGATTTGTGATACCAAGGTCAAAAGTGCATGTTTATGTATAAATAAATTTTTTAAAATAAATGTTAAAAATATATAAATTGGTTTAGATGTA